TTGAGCATTCACTATGCATTGGGCCTTGTTCTAAGTGGTTTTTTTTGTGTTTTAACTCTCACAATAATTTTATGAGATCGGTACAATAATTATACCCATTTTACAGATGAGGAAACCGAGGCTCAGAGAAAGAAGGGTGCTTTTGCAAGAAAGGTCCCATAGCAAGAGACTGGCTGAACTGAACCAGACACCACCTTTGGTCTTTCCAAACCCTTCATCCAGAGGAGGAGAAAGCTGGTCATTTGTGTGAATGAAACACCCGTGGGGGCTTTTATGCCAGACTTTGGAAACTTTTTAAGAGCTCATACTATCTCTTTTTATTTTATATGATCTGTTCCCTTTGTTTCCACTATCCATAAACATTCCTACAAAATCTCAACAGACTGCGAGTTTGCCTCAGGGACACAGAGGTGATATGAGATGCTACTCCGGGGGATCTGGGTTGGAATTATTGGGCGGAGGCAGTGAATGTGTATCGGCAGAGGAGCAGTGCCTAAGGGTCCCAGAAGAACAGAGAGAGGCCAGCTCTGGAGATGGTCTGGGACCTCACAGGACCTTGCAATAGCAGCCGCTGCTCATTTTGCTGTTGGAAAAATTGAGACAGGCAACCTGTTCCTGTCAACTCAGGTTAGTGGTGAGCCCTGCCTACCTGAATCCTTTGCCTGGCCATGATTTTCCTCTGCCCCAGGCCCTCAAATATTAAATAGTATTTCACTGCCCCCCTGAGGGGCAGTGAACTCTGGAGCCGGAGTGTCTGAATTCGATTCCTGCCTCTGCCACTTACTGTGTGACCTTGGAGGAGGCCGCTAACCTCTCTAGGCTCAGTTTCCTGTACCTCCACCACCAGCTGGTTAAGGATTAAAGAGCTTGATGTATGCTAAGCACTTGGACCAGCAGAGCAGCATATGTCAGCATTAGCCATCATCACTATTATTACTGGAAACAACCCAAAGCCTTTGAGCACCCACCTCCTCCTCATCATCAGTGACCGCATACAAGTCTTAAGCAAACACCAGCTTTGGACAGGTCTGGGGCAGTGGGGAGGGCAGGCGGGTGTCTGGCACAGGGGCTGGCTGCAGCTGCATCTGACTGCATGCACACTGAGCCTCCTGCCCACTGACCAGGCTGCAATTTGTCTTTTGCCTGGTCCGCAGCTCCCCGCACAGGCCAGGCCAAGAGCGGGCACCAGTCCAGGGCCCCATCTATCCTCCACTGCCTGGATGGTGGGGCTGGAGAGCGCATCTGTCACTGTCTCTGGTGGCATGGATGACTGGCATGTCATCTTTGACAAATGTCTGTGCTGGTGAGCTCTGTGTGGCTGTGGGTACTTACAGATGCCGAAAACTCACAGACACAGAAGGGCTGCTCCACACCCTGGCACACACAAATGAGGACCAGGCAGCTAGGGACTGGAAGGCTGGGGAGAGGAGGCAAAAGAGTGCAGGATTTGGACTGGGAAGACCTGGGCTCTGCCTCTCAACATATCCTCTCTCTGCACCAGGGTTTCCTCACTCATGAAGTGACCATAAAGGTCTCTGCCCTGTCTTCAGTGATCTCATAGGAATCAGTCACAATTTTCATTACACTATTAGTAATGATGGTTTTGAACTCTTATCAAACACCTGCTTTGGCTCAAGCACTTCTACATATACACACTTGCTCACCAAATTCCCACAAGCCCATTTTACAGATGATGAAACAGATTCAGAAAAGCAACTTGTCTGGGGTCACATAGCAAGTGACAGAGCCATCTTAGGACACATAGGACACATCTGAGGTGCATGTGGTAGGTCAGGGGTCAACAAGTGTTGCCTGTAAAGGGTCAGAAAGTTACTGCTTTATGCTTTGCAGGTCCATGGCCTCTTGCATCTGCTCATTGGTGCCGTTGCTGTCTGCAAGTCAGACAATAAATAAATGAGTGTGGCTATATTTTGAAGCAATTTCTCTTACAAAAACGATTGGCTAGCTAGATTTAGTTTGGGGTCCCTCAGATCATAGTTTGCTGACCCCTGGTCTAGGCTTCCAAATCAAAGGAGATGACTATGAGAAAGGGCTCTTCACACTTCTGAGAGACAGTATCTGGTGGAGCTCACATCATGGACTTGGGAGCCAGCCTGCTTGTGTTCCACCGCCAGCTGGGTCACTTATTGGTTGTGTGATCCTGGGAAAGTGACTTAACAGCTCCATGCCTCAATTTACCCATCTGTAAAATGGGACTAATAGTACCGTTTAGACCACAGGGTTGTTGTGAGGGTTCAATGATTGATTATGTAAAGAACTTAGAGTAGGGCCTGGCACTATCATCATGAGTGCTGGGTAGATGTCACCTATGATCACATGCCAGGGGATTTTATCTGCAACACCTGAGAATCTGATGCTCGTTTAAGTAATGGACTGGGCAGAAGCTCCTGGCCCAGCTTCCCTGGACCCAGCTTTCTTCTCTCCTCTTGCCACCAGCACAAATCCTTTGTGGGAAAAGCTCCTGCCTTATCTTTTGTTCAGCATCTCAGTGGTAGTCTCAGCCCCCTAAGATGCCAGACATGGAAGAAACCTTAGGGCCTAGTCTGCTTCTTACAACCATACGGACCCTGAGGCCAAAAGAGGGGAAGCAAGCTGCTCAAGGTCACACAGCCCTCGGGTGGAAAATTCACTTCTTCTGACTCCCTAGTGAATGACCTTCCCAAGTCAGTAGCCTTCTCTCAGACCAGTTCTCCTGGCTTAGTAAAATGCTAGTCATTTTCCTGCAGGCGAGGGCATCCAGGCAGATGTGGCTTCCTACTGCCTGGGGCTGGCAAGCAGAGGTGTGAAGGACAGACACTGGGGCCAGCTGCTTTCTATCCAGACACATGCTTTGGACACCCCTTTGTCCATCCAGATACCTGAGCCCAGCTCATCCCCAGCCAGGCCCCTGTCTCCTCACTGGCTGCTGAAAAGTCTCCATCCTCTGGTCCTTCTTGAGGAGGAACTACAGGTAATATTTCCTGGATAAAGCTGGGAGTAGATGTTATGTAGTATATGTAAACACATCACCCTTGAGTCAGGGGGCACTTGAGTTTTCTGGGTGTTGGTACCTACTGTTGTACATTAAGGAAACAAATAAATAAAAAGTCCAGGCAGCTGTCCTGGTAATTGCTAGCTAGGCCCTAGTAGTTCCTATTGAACATAGGCAGTTTCATTTTCATACAATATCAAGATCAGATGAGGTGTCTCCGTGACGATAATGGAACATGAGAAACACAGGATATGAAACCACAAAAGAATGAACATCTTTTTCTTCCAGCTAATATGAGTGACCCTATTTCTTTGCCAATGACAACTCTAACCCTGCTTCAGACAGCACTCAATCTAGAAAACCCTTGCTTCTTAAGCCTTCTCCAAAATCACTCAGCTCCAGTGCAAACCCTGTGACAAGCCCATCCTCACTCCCTCTTACTGAGCTGTTCCATGGCTCCTCAAGGTGCATGCTCTCCCTTGCTGCATGGGAGGGAGACTAACTTTGTTTGACTGTGATGATGATCCTGGTCTTTGGTCACTGGACTTTTTTTTTTTTTTTTTGAGAAGGAGTCTCACTCTCTGTAACCAGTCTGGTGTGCAGTGGTGCAATTTTGGCTCACTGCAACCTCTGCCTCCCGGGTTCAAGTGATTCTCTTGCCTCAGCCTCCTGAGCAGCTGGGATTGCAGGCATGCGCCACAATGCCTGGCTAATTTTGTATTTTTAGTAGAGATAGGGTTTCACCATGTTGGTCAGCCTGGTCTCAAACTCCCAACCTCAGGTGATTCGCCCGCCTCGGCCTCCTGAAGTGCTGGGATTACAGGTGTGAGCCACCAAATTTTCATACTTTTAATAGAGATGGGGTTTCACCATGTTGGCCAGGATGGTCTCAATCTCTTGACATTGTAATTGCCCTCCTTGGCCTCCCAAAGCACCGGACTTTATCACCATATTTACTGGGATTGAAACATGGATGGATGAGGTGGAGAAGTGTCAGATGGTGAGGTGGTTTGGTGGAGAACTATAAAAAGCCAATCTCTAACATCCTCTAGAGAATCAGATGCTTTACATGTATTAAGGTGGCTCTGATTAAGTGGATCCTGCCATGAACATTATTTCATTCTGTTCTTTTAATAACCTTGATGGAGCATTAACACTCCCCCTTTGTATACAAAAAAACTGAGGTTCTGCAAGCTTAAAGAACTTGCCTGGAGTTCTCAATCTAGTAAGTGGTGGATCCAGGATCCAGGGGTCTTCTGATGCCAACTCGGTGTTGACACTTTGATATAAGGCTAATCTTCAGTCTATGTAGCAGGAGGACCCTGTGCATCATCTGCTTCTCACTGTTGACAGCACTGATGACCCTAAGATGAGAGATCTCTAGAATATGCCAACCACATGGTCAAAGTCAACGAAGGGGTTTTGGCAGCCATGGCCTCTCCATTTTCGGAGCAGGCACCATTCCCTAAGGCCAGGCTTTCAGCCCTTCTGGTCGAAAGCATGTAATCCATGCTGTTGGTCTTACCCTAGGAGATGGTGATCAGAGAGGAGCCTTACTGATTTGTTCCTGTTGACTCTGATCTTAGTTCTTAGCACTTTCTTTTCTTTCTTTCTTTTTCTTTCCTTCCTTTCCTTTCTTTCTTTCTCTCTCTCTCTCTCTCTTTCTTTCTTTCTTTTGAGACAGAGTCTTGTTCTGTCACCAGGCGCCAGGCTGGAGTGCAGTGGCGTGATCTTGGATCACTGCAACCTCCACTTCCTGGGTTCAAGCAGTTCTCCTGCCTCAGCCTCCCAGGTAGCTGGGACTACAGGTGCTTGCCACCACGCCCAGCTAATTGTTTTTTGTATTTTTTAGTAGAGTCGGGGTTTCACCATGTTGGCCAGGATGGTCTCCATCTCTTGACCTCGTGATCCACCCGCCTCGGCCTCCCAAAGTGCTGGGATTACAGGCTTGAGCCACCACACCTGGCCCTTTAGCACTTTCTTTTTTTTTTTTTTTTTTTTTTGATTTACATCTAGTTTAATATTCCCTTTATACAGCACCAGAGGTTAAAAATGGATTTGAGTAACCAAATATTCTCTTTCCTTTATTATTTACAGTTTATCATCACTTATGTTATAACACTAAACCCAATTGAAAATGAAGACACCCTGGGTCAAATGCTTTCAACTTAAATAAACATTTCATCCACTTCATACTTAAATAGCTAGTTGTTTTTCTATAACGTATGTTTCTCAGTAAAAACTACTGAATCAACTAAGCCGAACACCAATTTATCTCTGAGGATTAGGCAAGTCGGATAGGATTCTCTAGGTTTGCTTTAAAGCTTTTAAGAAATCTGGTTGCCAGTTCGTCATCAACCACTCGACTGTCACTTGACATTGTGACTGTGATGAGCTGGCGCTGCTGCAGTTTGGCATTTCCCTCTTCATCCTCAGTGAGCTTCAGCACAGGTTGGAACCTCCCAACAGCCAAAATGCAGGCCTGAGGAGGGTTAATCACTGCAGTAAATTCATCGATGCCAAACATCCGCAAGTTGGAAATACTAAAAGACCCTCCTTGGTATTCTTCAGGCAACAATTTTCCATCTCTTGCTTTCTTTGATAGAGCCTTTACAGAGTCAGCAATTTCCTGGATACCCTTAGCAGCAGCATCTTTAATGATTGGTGTAATTAAGCCTTTATCTGTTGCCACAGCCACTGAAATGTCAATACATGGCAGTTGCTTTGGACCCTCTCCATCCCAGCTTACATTAACATCTGGCATTTGTTTAAGGGTAAGAGCTGCTGCCTTGATGATAAAATCATTTACTGATACTTTAATGTCATCTTTGACCAGATCTTGCCTAACTTTTAAAACAGCTCCAAGGTCACAGTCAGCAGTAGCATATGCATGAGGTACAGTACTTTTAGATTCAGTTAATCTCTTGGCAATAACTCTTCGAACATTGCTGGCGGGGATTTCAGTGAATGTGCCCACTGCATTGGGTTGTCCAGGAGTTGATACTGGTGGAATCATAGGCCGGGGATAAGATGGCCCAGCTATGGCCTGTAGCGGTGAAGGTGCTGTAGAAGTGGCTGCAGGGGCTGGGGTCGGTCTGAACTCAGTAATCTTGCCCATCTGCTTCAACTGGACAAGTCTGAGAGCATCCTCTTTAGTGAATATCCCCCGAGGACCAGTGGCTGTGCCCTGGCTAGCATCCAGTGAGTGTTTTTCCAGAATATTGCGGGCAGCTGGACTTAAACGGAACTGTTGTGTCCTGGGTGTGTGTTCCTTCTTCACAGGGATGGCAATCTGTGGTTCTGGTGAGGGGCGAGGCTCTGAAGGTTTTGAAGCTGGTGGTGGAGGACCTACATCTTTGGGAATTTCAATGTGTTTCCAATCTTCTCCTTCTTCTACTATCAAACCAATTAGTGAACCTAGCCGTATATTTTTTGTTCCTTCTTCAACCACAATTTTGGCCAAGATTCCATCGTCACTTGCATTTAAGGTAACCACAGCTTTGTCAGTCTCAATTTCACATAATGCGTCTCCAGCATTCACTGCTTCACCTTCCTTTTTCAGCCATTTCACAATGTTTCCTTCTTCCATTGTGGGAGACAGTGATGGCATTAGTATCTTAATGGGATCACCCCGAAGCCACTGTGCGCTATGAAACCATCTCCAACTAGATCCTCGGCTTACAGACCACCCACCAGCCCCGTTCACCAGCCCTGAAACGCTTCGGCGGCCAGGGAAGCCCACGAGGTAACGCAGCAGCCGCGGGTCACAGCCTAGCTTCCAGGAGGCCGCCATCTTCAAGGCTTTCTCATGGGCTGTCTGCAGCACAGCCTGATGTCCAGCATCATGGCCTCGCCTCCCGCATCGTTGGCCACGCCCCGAGACGCTAGCGGTGCCTAGGGTCTAACTTGTAGCCCTCCTAGCCCCGCCTCCAACCACATTGGCCACGCCTCCCGAGCGGTCTGCGGCGCCGCTGGATATCTCAGCCCCGGCTCCAGCCCCGTTCGCCCCGCCCCCGGGCTGCCCTCAGCGTCGCCTGATTGCATTTGCGGCCTAGCTGCCTGATCCCAGGCTAAGCGCCGCGCGTAAAGCTGTGCGGAGACTGGAGGCCGCGCGGCTCCCTCCTCTGGGCCATGTCTGGCTGTGACGCTCCGGAGGGAGACGGTTGTTCTCGGAGAAGCGACGCGCAGGTAGGGGCGGGGCCGCCGGTGCCCGGTATTCCGACGAGGGGAGACCCAGTCGGGACGCGGCGGCTGGAGCTGCCCTTTAGCACTTTCTTAATCCTCATTTCTATAGGGAGAATTCACAAAAGGGGATCATCTAACCCAGGCGTCCCCAAACTTTTTACACAAGGGGCCAGTTCACTGTCCCTCAGACCATTGGAGGGCCGCCACATACTGTGCTCCTCTCACTGACCACCAATGAAAGAGGTGCCCTTCTTGAAGTGCAGCGGGGGGCCAGACAAATGGCCTCAGGGGGCCGCATGCGGCCCGGTGGCCCGTAGTTTGGGGACGCCTGATCTAACCTCATCGAAAGGTATCTCCAACAGAGTGGTGGGGCCTAGCTTCACATTCCATGCAAGGCATTTTGCAAGATGTGTTTCATAGGTGTGGGAGCTGACTAGAGCTGGATATTTTTTTTAGCCAGACAGCTGTCACTTGGGGACAGCTGAGAGTTTGAGGACTTTGGAAGTTGAAAGGGGTTCATCTTGGGAACTATCTTCCCTTATTTTAGGAAAACCACCAGCCTGAATCCTTAGGTGGAGAACTGTATACCAAGTACCTAACCATTGTTTTTGGAGAAAACTGTTGACGTCAGCCCAAGTCTGACTACGCATTCTTTCAATAGAAAGAGAATGTATGTCTATAGCCATGGAAATTTGGGTATATTTCATCAGACCTTTGGAGTCCATGACAAAGTGTGATTCCAGGCTGAGTCACCCAGGCTGTGGAACATGTATCTAGCAGTGAATGTGGTGGCTTTGTCTGGCCTTGGGAATCAGCCCAGCTTTGTGGGTTCAAGCGTGGGGCTCTCATGTGGAAGAGGGGATACCACGTGAATGCCATTATTCTCAGGTGGAGGAGCCCACCTTGGGATGGAGGAGGGGAGGGCTTCCTCCTTTCAGTGGGTCTGTAGGTTCCTTTGGGATCTAGACTCAGGGGAGAGAGGGGTGGGTCTAGGGATTCTGATTTGAGAATGTTCAGCTGGCCCAACATGGGTGCCTGCCGAGGAAAAGCAGAAAGCCTGAGGTGAGGGCAGGGGGCCTCTGAATCCCAGAGTAGCTATGTCGAGAGGTAGCAGAAGTCACCTCTTTGTGTTGTCCTCGTTATCTCACGTGTGTTCAGGGAGGCTTTGCTGAGCACCCATACTCTGGTTGCCTCTACTGGATAATTAATATTGTGTCCTCCATTACCCCATGGAGCCCTGGTCTCCTTGAGCTGTTCTCTAGGGTACACTGCTGCTCCTAATCTGGAATGACCCCATATGTATGACTGTCCCTTCCCTTTTTTCAAGTATCACTTCTTAGCAACACTTTCCCTGATCACCTGTCTGAATTTCTAACTTCCTAAGTCCTGCTATAATTTTTTCTCCTTTTTCTAACATAGCATATACTTTCCTTATACAGGTTGCTTATTGCCTGTCTTTCTCATTAGAGTATAAGCCTCATGAAGGCAGGGGATTTTTGTCCAGTTTTGGTTGTGGTTGTTTTGGTCCTTGGGGTTTAAAACCCAGCTGGATGCATCATAGGCACTCAATATATATTTGTTGAAAGAATAAACAAATTACTTCCATTTCTATTTAGAGTTTTTATTTCATCGAACACTCATTATTATTGATATGACCACATGTTTTTCCCCTTGAATTTGTGATATGATAAATTGCATCAATTGGTTTCCTGTTATAAATCTGTGTTGCTAGGATATATCCAACTTGATCATAATAACATTTTGCCAGATTTCATTTGCTGGTGTTTTATTTCAACTTTTTACATTTACATTCATAGGAACAATTGGTTTATAGTTGCATTTTATTAAACAATCTGTATCAGTTTTCAGTACTAAGGCAATGTGGGTTTCATAAAGTGAATTGCAGTGCTTCATCTTTTTCTATGATTTGGAAGAGTTTAATTAACATTGGAATTATTTGTTCTTTAAAAGTTGCATAGAACTCAGCTGTGAAACCATCTGTTCCTGGTGCCTTTTATAATGGTAGATCTTTAATCACCTTTCTAGTATCTCCTGCTGAAATTGGCCTTCTTGTTTTCTGCTTCTCCTTGGTCAATTTAGGTAATTTATATTTTGCTAGGTAATTATCTATTTTTCTGGATTTTTCATTTTGCTGCCACAGAGTTGGTGTAGAATTCCCTTGGGATCTTTCAATCTCAAGTGCATCTATGGTTATGTCTCCTTTCCAACTCCTGATTCTGCTTGATTTTGTTCTTTTTTTTTCCCCTTTAATCAGGCTCATGACAAATTTGCCTGATCTCAGCTCTTTGAAGAAATAGAGAGAGCTGTGCTCATACTTGGAACCCTCTCGTTTGTGGAGAGAGAGGAGCCTGTAGGAGCCTGGCGTTAAGTAGCTCAAGAAGGCAGCGTAGCAGGAGCATGGTGGTGCAAAGAAGGGAGGGGCTTTGGCTCTGGGCCTCTACCACTTTCTGGTCTTGTGACCTTGGCAAAACATTTTGGTTCTCTGCACTTTAGTTTCCTTATTTGTTTTTTTTTTTTGTTTTGTTTTTGTTTTTAAAATTTTTAAGTTTTTCACTCCTCTTAGCTAATATCTAAAGTTTCGTTATCTGTGAAAGTGAGCATCCAGGAGGTCTTTAAGGAAGGGTGAACATGGTGGCGGGTGCGGGGGAACTTACCTTCACTTGTATCTGAAAACAGCAAGACTTTGGGTTGGATGCCAGTGCTCTACTGTGTGAGCTCCCCTGTTGCTGTGGTCTCTCGGTGCAGTGTTGGCCCATAGACTGCATGGAACTTCTTCATTGCCAGTCCAAGTGATGAACATTCCAGAGCTGGTGATTTCTTTGTCACATCTGTCACTCCTCAGTGAGAAGCAGTGTGATTTGTGAATCCTCAAGTTCAAGGTCTAGCTCTGCCTGTGACCTGGTCCCTGAGGTCCTGACTTGTGTCCACCGCCTCCTGTCCACCCTCCCTAGATGTTGAATGCCATCTCAAATAAGATGCTCAAACAGAGACTCACTCTCCTGTGGTTTCCTCCAACATGGCTAATGGGCAACTTCTTCCTTCTAGCAGCATGGGACCAACAACCATGGCGTCATTTTGACTCTGTTCTTCTCACATCTTGCATCTCGTCCTTTAGTCAATATTGTTGCCTTTTCCTCCATAATCCAGCCAGGCTCTGTGTGATTGCATCTTCCCACCTCCACTACTGCCTCCTTGGTTCAAGCAACCATCATTTCTTGCCTGGATCTCCTACATGGACTCTTGACTTCACCCTTGCTGACCGTCTGTCTATCTACAACACAGTAGCCAACTAAATCCTAAGTCAGAACAGGTCCCTTCTCTGTCAGAGCCCCCATGGGCTCCCATCCCACTAGAGTCAAGGCCAAGTCTCTGCAAAAGAACCTCTCCCTCATAGCTCTCTGCACATCTCTGACCTAATCTCCGACAACTCACCCCCTGGCTACCACCCCTCCAGCTACACTATCCTTTTTGCTTTTCTTCCGGCACCCCAGCAGCCTTGTCTTAGGGACTCTGCACGTACTATCCCCTTTGCCTAGAATATTTTCCCCCCAGAAGATGCTTCATCTCCTTGAGATCTTCACTCTAGTATGACCCTACTTAAAGCTGCCTCTGCCTCCAAAGCACTGTCTATCCCCCTTGTCCAATTTATTTTTCTCTCCAGTACCCATTGCCACTTGGCATTCCATAGACTTTGCTTGGTTGTAACTATCTAGAAGGTTTGGCAAGTGGTAGATGTTTGACCTGTGTCTGCTGAGAGTGAATGGATAAAGGCATGTATAATTAAACTGTGATCGTGAGTAAGCTGTTCTCCTTCTCTGGACCTCAGGATCAGGGAAAAGCCACTTGAGGTGATTTTAAGGTCCTGTTCCTGCGGTTGCTCTCTGATTGCAAGAAGAGGCTCACTCTAAGAAACCAAAGATTTCCCCAGCATTTGTCAGCCACGTCAGGAATGAGTTTCTGGCTTTCTCAGCTGAGAAATGATTTAATAAGATAGATAAGCTGGACGGGGTGAGAGGTATATTTACTCTGTTCATCTGTAGGAATGGACAGAGTCAGGGACCCCTGAATCCACATTGGGGGCATCTGAGATCTGTGCTTACTGGCTTCTTTACCTAACTTGCTCAAATTTTGAGTGCCTATGGCAGTTTTCTTTGTCCTCCAGATGTGTGTGTGTATGTCTAAAAGTACCCAACAGCCTAATGAATAAGGACTCAGCAATATGAGCCAGTGTAACAATGGTAACAAGAATGCACAGCCCCAACTCTCCAGGCTGCACCTAGAACCTCAGTCACAGACATTTTAGGCATCCTGACCACTCCCCTGAAAGCTGAGGGTCTGGACCAACCACCTGCCCTCACGGCATGTGGCTCCTTCCCTCTGGGAGTGGGGCTTGCCCCTCTTTCCACAGCTCTGACACCAGGGCAGCAGTGCTAGCCTGAGCCCATCCCAAGCTTGGGGCTTTACCCTCCCATGTGTACCCCAGGGGCCTGAGTGGAGGCTTCCCTGCCAGTCAAGATACATGGCTCTTCCAGTGCTGGGCTGGCAGCCAAGTGGTTGTTGTGAAACAGTCTGTGTCTTCCCATCATGGTGGGTGTGTCCAGGGTCAGGGTGAGGCTGGCAGGCCTCCCCATTTCCTCTGGCTGGGTTGGCAGTAC